TGGCGTCTTACGAAGAGCTCGCCACTTAGGGGCAGCTCGACACTTACAGGTAGCTCGGCATAGGTAGCTCGCCACTTAGGGGCATCTCAACGTATCGCAGGAAGATCTCCTGCCTGACAACCATACCTAACAGATTCGGAGACTTGCGCCCACGTCTCTCGCTAGGCGGCGCCGTGCTTGCCAGCCCTGAGAGCTGTCCCTTGACTGGCAAAGCCGTACTCTGCAGCAGCCGCCTGCACCCGCCACCTCAGCTCTGGAAGTAATGGTTGCGGCAAAGAGACAGAGGCGGTTACGCCTGACTTGACAGAGGCTGTTACGCCTAATTTGACAGGACACTACTATATAAGGACTCTGACCCCCGATGACAAGGGGGAGAGAATGAAAAAATGGAGGTAATCCTTGCTCTCTACCTCTCTCATTTCTCTCCAAGCTCCTTACAATCAGAATGCTAACTTAGGCATCGGAGAGTCCCCACCGGGAAAATACCCTCGGGTCCTCTGATTCAGTTCTCGCAGGTCCCTCAGCTCCCGCCGCCTGCAAAGGAGAGGAGATCACCTCATGCAGAGGGCAGTCGGGTTACGCTACACCAGGCAGTTCTTTACCAGGGAGCTCGTCTCCAAGTAGCTCACCACTAGGGAGCTCGTCACCAAGTAGCTCACCACCAGGGAGCTCATCTCCAGGTAGCTCACCACCAGGGAGCTCACCACCAGGGAGCTCATCACCAAGTAGCTCACCACCAGGGAGCTCGTCACCAGATAGCTCACCCCTAGGGAATTCGCCACCAAGGAGCTCCACCATCCTCTCCTGGGAGCAGGTCAAATGGCGAGGCACTTAGCCAAAAAAAATTGATACATCACAAAATATTGGTACGTGACCAGAAACGGTTACATCAAGAGGGATGCTTTCTATCATCCCAAACTTTCAAAAACCCCAACCCTATGTGTATCAGTGTATCCATGCACCACCATCAATGTTTAAAAACTGACCCAGAACTGGAACCGCTTTGGGCACTGGTTTCTGGGTCAACAGTTCAACTGTTTGGTTTGAATGAATGACCCATTCCAATTAAAAAATAAAATAATTAAAACAAAAAAACAGTCAAAACTGTTGTCCGAATCGAACAAGTTGCTGGTTYGACAACTTAAATCAACAGGTTGCTGACCAAGTCAACGGTTTTTTGACCAGGAACGAGTTAAGGGTGGAATTGCCTGAATGGTTCTTGGGCCAAACGGTCCGACTGTTTGAATCAACAAAGGTTTGAAAACACTGGCCTCCATGACCACGAATATGGATATCGTTTCAATATTTTGATCCTTGTAATCAAATACAAATATTTTGTATTCTTCTYTTTCTTATATTATGTAAAGGTGACTTTTGGAGGAAATATCATTTAGACATTTTTGGTCAAAGTGTTGTATGGACATTTTATCTAATGTGGTGCTTAAAAGTACTTATCTACAATAAATAAATTGTACTCTTATGCCCAAAATGTTTTTCTTGTTTTCTAATGCCTAAATCAAGTATACACAAGCACTCATGCAAACATTTCTACCGAACATCCTCTAAGTTGGTTTTGTTACAAAAACATTCGAATTGGTTGGAGACATAATTAGGCACACCGGGCTGGGCAACCTATCACGAGTGAACATATCAGTGTTCCCTACTCATTTGTATTATGAGTGAACATACCAGTGTTCCCTACTCATCTTTGTGATAGATTGCTCAACCTGATGTACATGATTTTGTGTCCGGCCCATTTGGTCTCATTCAAAAAACAATACATGCGTTTGGAACCATTCAAATAGTGATTCTAAAACAAAGCCAAATTTTATATATAATTTATGGAACATGATATTAAATAACTAAATAATAAACATTTAGGGATGTCAATTGACTAGTTTTGGGTTGGATCCAATCCAAACCGAAACTAATTAAATTGGATTTGAATGGCCCAATATAGAAATTGGGTTGGACTAGATCCAAATAAATTCGTCCAAACTCCTATCGGTTTGAGTTGGACTTAGTTCAAATATTCACAATAGAAACAAAAACCAGAACCGTTTTGTGTTTTACAGGGACTGGTTGATAGAGCATATGTGGGGGAAATTTTGAAAAACAGAGCTTTCTGAGATCAAGAAGATTAATAGTCTATCTTGAAGAAGATTAATCTATAAAATGAACAAATTAAAAAAAAAAAAACATTTTGTGAAGAAGCTTCAATTTTAATCAATGTTTTCAAAACCGACGATCGGATCGAAAAAATCGGGAACCGATCACTTGACTGATTCCGTTTTACCCCAAAACCGCGATTAGGCCAAAAAGCGTTGATTTGGTCTGTGAACCACTGACCCGGGCAGTCGATTTTTTATTTTTTGTCAGAGTGGGCCGTCCTCCATTCAGACCAAACGGTCAGACTGTTAAATCCAGTTTTAAAAACCTTGATTTTAATGTTCTGAATTTTCTTTATTTTAATATATTTTTGTAATTTTAATTTGAACTTCTATTAGGATGGTTGTTGGATTATATAAAAAAAAATTGATATTTTATTCGGTTTGAATTGGGTTGGATCCAATCCAGTGCATTTACATTTTAATGGATTGGATTTGGACAGGATTGGGTCCGGTCCATATGTAAATGGATTCACATTGGACTGGATCGGGTTGGACCAAATCCAGTCCAATTGACACCCCTATAAACATGTTCTTTAAATAAAGCTCAGTCCATAAATACAGGCAAAGCACATGACAAGAGTTATTAGATAGGCGTCTGTTTGCCAATCTGAAAGGCACCGAGATTTTCACTAGATTAATCCGGATGCAACTTTTACATGACCAACCTAACTAACATGCAACCGATCACTTGAATATAACTTACTACTATTAAAGGGGGCTAATGCGACTCCCTGATATACCTATATATTGCTTGTTAATTCCTCCAATTTTTACAGGAAACCATTACAGCCCCAAGAGATAATGGCCATTGTCGCTGAAGCACCAGGTTTTCTCCAGGTCTTCTCTGATGGGTCGGTAAAACGCTTTGCACCTGAAATCTCAGCTGCCTTGCCGGAACTGTCCAATGGATACAGATCTAAGGATGTGATAATTGACCCATCTAGGCCAATTTCTGCCAGAATTTTCCTTCCTGAAACCAAAAACTCCAACACTAGACTTCCAGTTTTAGTTTACTTTCATGGGGGTGGCTTCTGTATTGGCTCCACAACATGGTTTGGCTACCATCACTTCCTAGGAGACCTGTGTTTTACATCCCAGTCAATTGTAGTCTCTGTGGACTACCGCCTCGCACCAGAGAACCGGCTCCCCATAGCCTATGATGACTGTTACTTTGCACTTGATTGGCTCAGCACCCATATCTACACTGACCCATGGCTAGAGCAAGCAGACCTCTCCCGTGTGTTCCTCTCAGGCGACAGTGCAGGAGGAAACATCTCTCATCATGTAGCACTCCAAGTGATGAGGAACAGACCCAACTATGTTACAGTGGTGGGGCTATTGATTATTCACCCTTATTTTGGGAGTGAGAGGAGGACCGAGAGAGAGATGGCTGTTGAAGCAGCTGGGGATGTGGAGATGAACGACATGTTCTGGCGATTGAGCCTGCCAGAAGGGTCAAGCCGTGACCACTTCGCATGTAATTTTGAGATGGCAGAGCTGTCTAAGATTGGATGGCAGCAGTTTCCAGCAGTGACAGTTTTTGTGGCAGGTTTGGATTTTCTGAAGGAGCGAGGTGTTATGTATGCAGAGTTTCTGAAAAGGAAAGGAGTGAGGGAAGTAAAGTTGGTCGAAGCTGAAGGAGAGTCACATGTGTATCATGTGTTTCGCCCAGAATCTGAGGCAACTCGCTTGCTCCAGCAACAGATGAGTGAGTTCATGATTGATCCTAAGAGAAGGATATCTTCAAAGATAGGCTTGTAGTGGCACTGTTCACTTAGGTTACAAGTAATTACACAAACTAAAATCTCAGCACACCAGAATTTCTTGTGCTGTTTTAAATTTTATATGGAGAAAGTAAAACCAGTATAGCATCATGAAAGGAAGGGAACTCAATAATAAAAATTATTACACAATAAAGGTACTTGTTTAGATGAATCTTAAATCTCAAAATTGGTTTTAACTTTTTTTTTTATCCTAGACAACAAACAGAGATTCATCCACCAGATCTGACATGTACATACTCTTTAAGAGTCGAAACTACTCATGAATCCACCGACAAAGCCAGCTCCGTTGCAATTGCCGCATAAAATTTCTTTCTTACCTCTGCAAGGAATTTTATAAAGAGATTAATTTACTGCCATGATGACTGAGAACACATATCTATGCCCCAAATTTTGTACCAATTGCCAGGCTGGAAGCAAATTTGTGATCAATGCATCTAAAAGAGTAGGAAGAAAATGATGAGAAGGCATCCTTCCTGCCTCTTCTGTAAATGTCATGGATGAGAGGGTTGAGAATTAACCCACTATAAAGAAGTCCAAGCAAGGAAATATTCAGGCCACCTACATGGTTCAATATTTTATAAGTAGAAAACTTAACAGGGTAGCTCACCAATTAGCTAATAGGGCTAAGTCCCTTAATGAGGAGGTGGTTTGGTGGGCTGCCCCCTCTTTTTTGGATCGGGACAATGTAGTTTGGTATATTTCTTCATTTAAAGTTTTCTTCTATAAAAAAAGATATGGTTCAACAACCATAACCATAGTACCATACAATAGTCAATTCCTTCAGACAGCAAAACTTGCCAACAGTCAAAAATGATAGTTTAGAGAGGTCAGATGGTTAGCACCATCCAGAAAAGGTTTTAATGTCTGACCCATTCTATCACCTCGTTAGTACCAGAAGGATGCTTCTATGGTACATCTAGCATTTTTTGCATTAACCTGTCATGAAAAAGAGGTAATGGACAAACGTTCTTGTCTCCAGTATGGGAACCAACATTTTTAGCCAAAATCTTCATTTACAGTACCTATTAATTTCAGACTTTCAGTAAGGTTATGGCAGCCGTAATGATGGTAATACCTGCAAAGCCAACACAAACCACCAGCTTTAAACTGTCCATTGAAGTGGTCAACTGAATTTACTCCAGTACCTTTACATTGGGAACACAACACTGCACCTGGTAGTTAAATGGGAAAAAATATAAACCAGTGTAAGCAAACATTATTCAAGCTTTCGGTAAATAACAACCCAATGAAATGGATGCATATGAATAATTAGGTATTGATAAAAAGAACATTACCCAATGTTGGTCCCAGCTATCTGGGGTCTTGGGAGGGGTAGACTGGATATGGTCCTAAGTTTGCCATTTTTTTGCACAAATGATTGCTCTCAGACTCAAACCTGCATTCTCATGCTTGGCCGAGATTTTACCATTACACTGAGTAATGGCCCCTTTGTGCAAAAGTTATGAAGCATTCATGTCTGTATTAAATATTTTGAGAACAAAAATTAAATGTGGTTCATGTAAAGCAGGTATTTTCCACCATCAGTAGTTTTCTTTTTTCTTTTCCCCTATTTGGATAGACATGAATCATAAACAAGCACCACAATGCTAGACTGTGCATTCATCTCAGACATAAAGTGTGAATTAATGGGAAAACAAGGAATGGGTGTCATAATGTACCATACTTTATTCACTACTTCATGGTGTGGTCTGCAATTTTATTATAAGGAACTTCACTGCTTATTCATGGTAAACGTCAAAAATATTGCAAAAAGCTCTATATTCCTCCCTGCATCCCTCTGAATTGAACTCTTGCTTCCAATAGATGGTTACATCCTATTTATTAGCAGTGGTATAGATTGTATATCATTTGTGTAATTGTAAATGTAAGAAGCAACGTTTCTCCTCTTCATCAAGAGTCAAAAGAAATTTGTTCGGTAGATGTACATCATGCAAGTTTCTTGAGATAATGTATCATTTATTCACGAACTTTGAATTCACCTGATAACAAAACATTAAATATGTCCACCAATACTTCTAGGGCTTGCATTTGGCATCAGTATGACTCAAAACCAATGAGCTAGAAGCAATTAACAGAAAAGTAAACCAATACATAATTAGGAGGATACTAATAGAACTGTTGCAAACATTCTGTAATTTCCACAAACCCAAGACTATATTAGCATGAAATTTTGGTTAAAAGATACAAACAATAACCTAAATTTGCCTACCGTTTCCATCACAATCAGCACAGACTATGCTCTTTGATTTCGTGCTCTGATTACTACTGTCTGCAGCCTGTCAAACAAACTACTTATAAATCCAAAGAGAAAGAGAGAAGATAACAAAAAGCTCTAAGCTCTTACTACAGAAAGTCGAGAAGCAAAGCAATACACTCATTTTTCACAAACATATTAAAGAAAACCACGAAACAAGACTATAAATCACTGTGAAAACCACAAGTTCACTTGAAAGGAGTGAACCAAACTAGTATTTGAAGGTGAAAAACAGAAAGAGAGGACAAATCACGAACCTTGACCTCAATCGATTGAAGTCTAGCATTTCGAGAGTTTCGAAACACGACATCGACCCGAAGAACCTCTCGACCATTGGTAGCGCCGGTTAATAGCCCTAAAAGATTCAAATTCACAGACTTTAAGAAGAGAGAAGGGAATCATACTAATACTACGGTTTTAAGGTTTGGGAGTGGAAGAAGAGAAAGGATAGAATTGGAAATACCTGGTTTACTTGGAGATTTGAAGGAAGCAGCAGGCGAGAAGCAGAGGGCGTTCGCCATTTTAAAGAATCTGAATTCCCTTCTCTGTAGCTAATTCGATGCCCTGGAATGAATTTAAAATATTACAGAGAAAAGGAGATCACTCACTCCAGTCACTCCTCGAGTGTTCAGTTGGTGGTGGCAACGAATGATGGTCGATGGGTATTTAAAATACACAGATAAGGCTGTATCTGTCTCACCGGCACGTATCTTACCTATAAAACATCCTTGTACTTTATTATTCTACCATGGGTATTTCTGTAAATAACCCTCTTTACCGGGAAAGAACCACAGCCACTGGCCATGCTGAAGCCTGAAAGAAGAAATAAGGAGTGAGATTTTTCAGAAAAGGGAAAAACAAGGAGAAAAATCCAAAAATGGCGAGCGCTCTTTTCTCGACTTCTCTCTTTGTCTCTCCTCCGAGTAAGTATTCCTGTATTCGATTTTTAGGTTCTCTCTCTGATCTCTTTATAGTCTGACCTCTGTATGTGTATCCTGCGAAAACTGTAAATTATTAATTATGAGAGAAATTTTTAAATAATTCATTCCTTTTTCGTTCATGGATTGGATGTCGCAGATTGTGGTCTGTGTAAGATAGAATGTTCTGAGGAAAGAAAGAGTATCTAGTTTTAGTTCATTTAGCTGGGAATTATACCATATGAAGCAGATTATTTGTCATTTCAAATAGGTAGAGAAGTAAAAGGATATAGAAGGATTCTTCCGAGCTCGTTCTACGGAAATGTTGTACATCTCACGAGCTTGATAAGAAGAGAAGGTAGTCGCAGCTCTGGGAGATGTAACGTGGTCGCTTCAGTGGTTTGTATTACATCATCCTTCCATATTGACTGTTTATTTTCTATTTCAAGTTTTTAAAATTGTTGAGTCAATTTCATTGAGTCAATAAGAAAAATCTTTGACTGGAATATCTTTCTTAAGTGAAGGCACCAACTTGGGAATTCTTATTTGATCAGTGAGATCATGCGTCTATTTTGATTGGTTTCTCTGCGTGCTTGGCAGCTAGGTAGAAGGGTCAAGAAGAGAGAAACTGTGATCCCCGATCCAGATTATCGAATACCGGTTGTTTTACTGGGTGAGTGGCATAGGTTATACTGGCATTTTATCTGAGTTAGTACAAGTTACCGACACCTTTTAGGAAGTGAAATCTATTTTACTGAGAATTATGCTCCCAGGGAAGATCTAAGATCTAATTTCTCACTCCATCCAATAAACACCAGGATATTTTATATGTTATATAGAAGGATCATGGGGGATGATGGCACCCCAAGAATATTAAAAACTTAATAGGGAAGAACTAAAATACAATAAACAGAACAACTTTAGTAGTTCAACAGGCTATCCAGATGATTATATTATATTCCATTAACAAACAAGAAGATCACAATGAGGCAAATTCAACAATAATTCTAAGGAGAAACTCTCTTCCCAAGAATGATTCTTCCTCTCTGAAGCAACTTCCCAAGAGAAACATTCTTCAAACAATTTCTCATCTGACAAAAGAATCCCTACACCAAAACCCTTATAACAGTATAACCAAGGTTCGAAATTTCAGCACGAAATGCCCAATATTGGCACCTTGCCAAGACACCTTTTTTAAGACTAATCCCCAACCCCCCAACCCT